CACCATGGCAGATGGTGGAATTTGAATTCAACAAATATCTGGAATTGAGAATGTTCCGATGAGCATGAATCCATTGCCGATTGTTGGGAAAAACGTATCTGGTTCACTAATGTCCTTTAGGGAAGGAAACTGCCATCCCGTACCTGGTCTGGCCTACATGTGACTCCAGACCCACAACAATGTGGTTGTTTCTTAATTGCCATCTGGGAACTTAGGGATGGGCAATAAATGCTGCCCTGGGCAGTGACACTCTCATCCCGCGAATGAATAAAGAAAAAAAATCTATTTATCTATCTATCTATCTATCTATTTATCTATCTATCTATCTATCTATCTATCTAATCTATCTATCTCAGTGCCTGTTTCTCTATCTCTCTATCTATCTATCTACCTATCTACCTATTTACCTATCTATCTATCTATCTCAGTGCCAGTTTCTCTCTCTATCTCTCTCTTTCTCTCTTTCTCTCTTTCTCTCTATCTATCTATTTATCTATCTATCTATCTCAGTGCCTGTTTCTCTATCTGTCTCTATCTCTCTCTCTCTATCTATCTATCTGTCTCGGTGCCTGTTTCTTTATCTGTCTGTCTGTCTCTCTGTCTCTGTGCCTGTCCCTACCTCGTGCTCTGTCTGCCTGTCTCTAGCTCGCTCTGCTCCAATGCTAGGAGCCTTGCTGTGGACGTGCCTAGCCAGCATATCCTTTCCTCAGCTGCAACACGATTAAGCCTCCTGTGATTAGTGTCAGACTGAGTCAGTGGAAGAGCTAACAACTGGAGCCAGCGTCATGGATAATCTTGAAAGGAATTAAGACTTTGCCACAGGAATGGGAAACCGGAGGGAGAGGAAGCAAATGCGTACCTTAGAAACGACTGAATAGAATGGCTGTTCAAACAGACCTCTCATCAGAAGGAGATAACAAGGTGTAGAGCTGGGTGAACACAGCAGGCCAAGCAGCATCAGAGGAGCAGGAAGGCTGACGTTTCGGACCTAGACCCTTCTTCAGAAACGTCAGCTGATCCTGACCGATGATGCTGCTTGGCCTGCTGTGTTCATCCAGCTCTACACCTTGTTATCTCAGATTCTCCAGCATCTGCAGTTCCTACCATCTCATCAAAAGGAAGCAGGTGCCTATATTATTGAAAGACCAGATGATGTGCTGGACAATCTAATGGGTTAGCTATTGATCACTCAGCTTTGACTGTCTGTCTTAGAATGGGACAGGACATAAAATCCCTGGTTTTAAGAGGATGTGGAAACCCAGGACAATCAACACTATGGACTAAAATATTTAAATCCTGTCTCTATCACTTTGCCTCCCTGGTGAGCCCTGTGAGAATCTGATAAACTCCCAGCCAACGGTATTTGAAAGATAGCTGACTGGCCAGATATCTGTAAGCTTGTGTTGCCACTGCTACAGACACTAAACATGAAGAAGGGTTAACTTTCAGATAATGTTCTCTCTCTCTCGCTATCTTTCTTTCTCACTCTCTTCAGCTTCCTTCCTCTTAGAACGTGAGGAACAGGAGCAGGAGTAGGCCCCATCTGGACCCCACGAGCCTGCTCTGACATTCAATAGGATCGTGGCTGATCTTTTCATGGACTCGGCTCCGTTTACTCGCCCCCTCACCGTAACCTTTAATTCCTTTACTGTTCAAAAATTTATCTAGTCTTGCCTTAGAAACATTCAGCGAGGTAACCTCAGCTGCTTCACTGGGCAGGGAATTCCACAGATTCACAACCCTTTGGGTGAAGCAGTTCCTCTTCGGCTCAGTCCTAAATCTTACCAAGGATTGTTGGTGCCAGGATTGCTTGTTGTGAGTGTGTAAATGAGAGTAGGCCATTCGGCCCATCCAGCCTTCTCCCCCATTCAATAAGATCATGGTTGATCTGATTTTAACCTCAACTCTACATTCCTGCACGTCCCCCCTATCATCTTTCATCCCCCTTGGGTCATCACAAATCCATCTCCTTCAACCTTAAAAATATTTAAAGATTCTTCATCCATTGCTTTTTGAGGCAGGGAATTCCAAAGACTCATAACCCTCTGGGAGAAAATTGTTTCCTCGTCTCTGTTTTAAATAGGTGCTCCCTTAATTTCAAAGTTTGACTTCTTACTGTGAGCATTAGCATTTCGATGACATGGCTTCGTTGCTGACGGTAGCATTATCCTCAGGAAGAGCCCAAGCTTTTGCTGAGATGACTGTCTTGGATTGCATAATGTGAATGATGCAGGTCGTGTCGAAATAAAAGCCGAAAGAACTGCGGATGCCGTAAATCAGGAACAAAAACAGAAGTTGCTGGAAAAGCTCAGCAGGTCTGGCAGCACCTGTGAAGGGAAAAAACAGAGTTAACGTTTCGGGTCCAGTGATCCTTCCTCAGAACCAAAAACCCGAAATGTTAACTCTGTTTTCTCATCATAAATGCTGCCAGGTTGTGTCTAATTATCTGGCAAGGTCTCAGCTGTAAGGTTTAGCGTCCTGAATCCTGAGCTGTCGTTGAGTTTTGCCAATAGAAGTATGGAGAACACAAGCCGAATTTTTCCAAAGCTCACATGGCAGCACGGTGGCTCAGCATTTCGCACCAGGACCCGGGTTCGATCCCACCCTCGGGCGACTGTCTGTGTGGAATTTGCACATTCTCCCCGTGTCTGCGTGGGTTCCCTCCGTGTGCTCCAGTTTCCTCCTACTGTCCAAAGATGTGCAGGTTAGGGTGGATTGGCCATGGGAAATTCAGGGATGGGATGGGGTGGGGTGGGGTGGGATGTAGTGGGGGGCTGGGTGGGATACTGTGTGGAGCTTTGCGTCCAGTCTGTTGAATGGGAGTGTGAGCATCGTCAATACAGTGTTCCTGTTCACAGTTACCATTTGTCTACCTGGTATGGAATTCCAGGCTCCAAAGGAAGCACTGATTATAACAGTGCAAGCATTGTCCCTGAGGCTGTTTGCTCCATCTGTAAGTACATCTCTTCAACTGCTTTCACTCCTTTATTTACATCTGTACATGGTGCATTGTCAAGTACAGCTCTCCAGTGTAATGTCTCAGCCCTCCCTCTTCACATACATGTTCTGGAGTAGCATCATCACCCTAATTAATGTCAAAGTTGTGGTATCATCACCGTAAGTCAACATCCTGGGAGTTATCATTAGCCACAAACTCAACCAGACCAGCCACATAAACACACAGGCTTCAAGAGTTGGTCAGAGGATAAGAATCCTGCAGTAAGTAACTCACCTCCTGACTCCCCAAAGCCTGTCCACCATCTACAAGGCACAAGTCAGGAGTGTGATGGAATACTCCCTACTTGCCCTGGATGAGTGCAGCCCCAACAACACTCAAGAAGCTCGACACCATCCAGGACAAAGCAGCCCCCGCTTGATTGGCACCACATCCACAAGTACCCACTCCCTCCACCACCGACGCTCAGTCACAGCAGTGTGTACCATCTACAAGACGCCCTGCAGAAATTCACCAAAGATCCTCAGACAGCACCTTCCAAACCCACGATCACTTCCATCTAGAAGGACAAGGGCAGCAGATACATGGGAACACCAGCCCCCTGCAAGTTCCCCTCCAAGTCACTCACCATCCTGACTTGGAAATATATCGCCATTCCTTCACTGTCACTGGGTCAAAATCCTGGAATTCTCTCCCTAATGGCGTTTTGGGTCAACCTGCAGCACATGGACTGCAGCGGTTCAGGAAGGCAGCTCACCCCCACCTTCTCAAGGGGCAACGAACTCTAGCCTAGCCCCCAACGCCCGCATCCCAGATGCGATTAAAATAAGCCACTTGTGGGATTTCAAATTCTGGGATTCCATTGACTTTCCCAACTGTCACTGTCATAAGTGATGAGCTCCAAATCTCTGCCTTGATGTTCCCCATAACTGCAGCCTCAGCTTTCTCACCTGCTCTTCCGAATCTGTCTCAATCTGACTGCACTTCCTCATCTTGGATCGTATCCTTCATCTCGAGCTCCCAATAGAATAGAATCCCTCACTGAGCCAAAATACAGGAATTCTGAAAACTTTCAGCAGGTCAGCCAGGGCCTAGGGAAAGTGAGAGAAATATAGAGTGAAAGCAAAAAGGTGTGATATAGATCTTATGTTTCAGACTGATAATCTTCCCCTACGCTAACACTAACTCAAAATGAATGCTCTCTTACAACAGTGTAGAGAAAGCTTTACTCTGTATCTAACCCCATGCTGTCCCTGTCCGGGGA